ATACGATTTATAGAGAGGAACAAGTGTTAGCGACAACACTGGGCCCCGAAGGGGGTAGATTATGAGATCCTACATTAGTTGGAAAGAGGAACAAAACATTTTTTATAAGGACGTATAAACTTCTCCCGCACGTATTAAAAATTTTGAGAATAAGCCTGAAAGTGAAAGTACAAAAAAAGATAAAATCAGCTACCGGTAAACTTAGCTTGATAGACTTACAATTCTTAATAAATAAATAATATAAATATAACTAAACATACTATATTGCATTTTAAGAATTTAGATAAAATGCGAAAAGTAAACGTGCCGTGATTGTCCATATTAAATTTCTATAAAATAAAAATAAAAAAATAAAAAAAAAAAGATAACTTTTAAAATGGTTAAATTGTCATTTTAAAAATGGTTTGTTGCACGCCACATAATTATTTAACTAAATTTTAAAAAACGTAATTAACGATAACATATAGATACATATATATATATATATATATATAGACAAGTAATCACATCCGACCAATAGTATCTTCATGAAATCCATATCCACCAACCAATTAAAAAAAATCCAAAAACGAAGTATTTTAAATTCAATAAACAATGTGATAAAATTTCACATGTCATGTCCTATTTTAAAACTGTAGGCGCGCTATGCACTCTAGCTTCATTTTTTTTTTCTTTTAAGTACTTTTCAAAATTTTACTAACACTTTTATTTATCATGCTTGAAAAATAAATATATATATAAAAAAAATGTTTTGAAATTAAATAACTATATTTGATGACAAACATTTATTTCAAAAATCGAGTGAATTATATTAAATAAGATATACTTATAATTTTATACCATTCGAATAATTTGTTAATAAAATAATAGTATACTTTAAATTTTAATTTCTATGAATAATTATTCTCAAATAAATGATTTTAATAAAATTATTAAAAAAATTAATTGTAAATAATTAATATGATCATCAAACTGAATAATCAATAGGTAATAATAATCTGTGAAATAGTAAGAATGAAAAAAAAATGAATAAATGTCAAGTAAAAGAAAATAGAAAAAAGAAAAAGAAATCACAAAATTAAATAAAAAATTTGAATTAAACCATTTCCAAAAAGTAGTTAACTTTTGTGAAATCCACGGTTGATTAAAATTATATTTTAAATAGCATTTTAAACGTGTGGACACGTCACTTGATTGAATAAAGAACCACAACGTATATTCAAATTTCACATCACGTCCACTATAAAATTGTATTTCTTTTTTAAGTGACAACTACCAAATTTACATGCCTAAATAAATCAATAAAATAATAATTTAAGAGACATGAGGTTTTTTTTAAATATATTTTAACCAAAAAAAAATTGGATCTAGTTGGAAATTTTAAATATTTTTTAAATTAAAAATTAGGAATTATTTGCTGTAGTTTAACATTTTTTTAAAATTACGATTAAACTATCTCTTGTCATAATAATTTAAGCTTTAACCTCATTAGTAAAAGGAAATTTTTAGATTTATTCTATTTTATTTTTTAAAAAAAAGTAATTTTGTATTATTTGATTCTATTTGAAATGGAAGAATAATGAAAGGAGGCTATTTATGTGATAGCGAGAAAGGAGAATAAAACAAAAAACAAAATGGAAAAATGGATTTTTTTTTGTCCATAATTTAAATGACAAAAGATAATAATTACATGATAATTTGGCCTCATATTATTTCGTTTTCACTAACACGTCTCATATATAATTGCTATGTTTAATTACAAAATTTTTATAATCGAGTCAATGAAAATGAAGGTTCATCTTGTTAGTGTAGATAGTGACTTTCTATTTTTTTTTTTTTTTTTAAAGTTTTTTTTAATTATAATTAGTAAAGGAGAATAAAACTTTAAAAAAGATAGTGATAAAATGAAAGAAGAGTAAAATAAAAGCAAGAAAATGGAATCAAATAATGTAAAATGCTATGGGGATAGGCATGATGATAATAATAATGGTGTGGGGGCGATGAAAGCAGCTACGATTGGGTACACTCCCCTTCTCCATACTATCCTCCACACGTGCCTGTCACCTCCATCAATCGCTTTCCTTTTCCTCTCTTACTTTCTCAACATTTAAACGTTAAAACCATGCCAATTATGTATATCATATGATTATATTAAAATGTGCTATAATCACATCAACTTACATCTGGATATGATACGATTATGTTAGGATCCTGCCCTAACAATACATTCCTACATTTAAATAAGTTCATGGGGACCAATACAATTTTACCGCAAGAGATAATGACTAAGAATAAAGAAGGAAGCGGTGATTAAGAGAAAAGTTTTAGAAATGTTTGATTATATTTTGATATCGGAATGGGTGATTAATTAACGAGTTATATGTTTAGTGTTTTTATTATGGAACCCAAACTTTTGAATATCAAATGGTTTTAAGTATTTGATGATATTTTATTAAATTTTTAGTAGTTGTTCATTTGTTTAAGTCAAAAATGGTGGGTCGTTACATTGGTTATAAAGCGGAAATTTAGAATAAGTAGTATTGGTCCCAACATTCATAATTATTAGATCTCTGAGATACTTTTAATATAAGTTTTGAGTTGGGTAGACTAGTGATACCTTTTATATCCAATTCAATGTTCGTTCCAGTTCTAAGTTTCTTCCCGTCGAAAATTTCTATTAAATAATAAACTTAAGTATGAAATATTTAGATTGAGTTGATTAGGGGTTGCTTAGATCATTTATTTATGTTTTAAGAAAAAGTGAGACGTTTTAAAAAAAAACATTTAATTAGTTTTAAATATTGATTTAATTTATATTATCAGAAATTATTTTCCAAAAAATTAAATTATATATATTAATTTGTTAGAAGAATAAATAATAATAAAAAACAATCATTGAATTAAATAAATACAGTGTATCTAATCCTATCGTAACTAAAATATACTTTTAAAAATCAATAATAAGTTTGAGTTGGTTTGTGAGCTCTCCATCAGTTGGAGAGAGAAACAAACCTTTCTGTTGTGAAAACTTTTCATTAGCAAATATGTTTTAAAATCATGAGGCTAACGATGATATATAACCGTTCATAGAGGACAATATCTGCTAGTGATAGGGTTGGACTGTAACAAATGGTATCAAAACTGTCACTAAGCAGTGCGAGGCAATAGTTGGAGTAGGCTAGATCTGGTCAAAATATGACTAGACTCTCTCCATAGTAGACGTCAGACGGTGCGAGGCAATGGTTAGTGTAAGCTAGATATGGTCGGAGTAGGGTTAGACCCTTTCTATAGCAAACATGTTTTAAAATTGTGAGGCTAGTAGCGATACGTAACGGGTCAAGGCGGACAATATCTACTAACGGTGGACTTAGGCTATTGCAATGGTATCAAAGTCAGTCCCCAGACGATATGTCAACAAGGACACTAGACTTCAAGAGGGTGGATTGTGAGATGCTATATCTGGAGAGGAGAGTCGGTCAATGTATGGTGACTCACGGTGGATAATATTGCTCGTGGTGAGCTTGAGCCATTACTTGCTAAGTTGGGTCAATCAAATTTTGCATATCCATATAATATATTAGGGTTATTACAGAGATGTTCATCACTTTTTAACGTTTAAAATCCTATTTGGTACAACCGTGAAAGCTGAAACACTAAAGTTATAAGTTTTTATATGTAATATAAAGTTTGCAAATGAACTATTTTAGCATTTGGGCATGAGAGATATAAATTTTGATCTAAGATTAAATTTTGGAAACTCATTTCCAAATGATAAGAGATATTTGAAAAGTGTTAGAACAATAATAGTGCAGGTGCTACGATTGTCCACTTAACTAAAATATTTAATATGAATTCATTGGATCCATTCACTAAAAAAAATCAATAGAAAATTTCAAAAATAAAATAAAATAAAATCCAAATGAACCCTACCTCACATGACAATTATTGGGTATAAAATAAACAACTTAATATTTTTTGTTGTCATCCTACGAACACACATCACTTCTTCCAATTACTATATTATTTATTTTGATTAATGCTCTGTGGGACAAAAATAACCCATCTCCCAATCAGTTATATGTTCCTTAAATTACAATTCCAGTCCCTATATTTCATCATTTTTTGCATTTTTCCCCATCTATATAATTTAGTTTATTTCATTTCGTATCTTATATTTCATCAATTTATTAATCACATTCAGAATATTTCACTATGTGATAATGAAACTTAGTATAATACAAAAAAAAAAACATAATTTCAATTTTCAGTTAATTATGCATTATAATTAAGTGAAAATCTCGCTTACTCTAAATAAATATAATATTATTATCATCCAGTCATTTACTTATTGTATTATTGAATTTATGTTATATCCGTATCTAAATGTGAGATCTCACATTGATTGGAGAGAAAAACGAGTGTCAGTGAGGACGATGGATCTCAAAAGATGGTGGAGGACTGTGAGATACCAGATCGATTGGACAAGAGAACGAAGCATATTTTGTAAGAGTGAGAAAACCTCTTCCTATCGGACATGTTTTAAAAATACAAGAATATTTCTTTTTGAAAAAAAATTATTATTGGCCTACCTAATAAATGTCTCTTAGGTGGACTGTCCACTTATATGCATAGATTCAAATAATTTTAAGAATGGTAACCTATCAATAACCACGAAAAATTTGATTTATCTTTCTGAACTTAATTAAGAAGTAAATTTGAATGGACTTAAATATTTAAAAATTAAAATAGGATAAGACAGTATTTTTCTTTGTTTTATTTTATTTTATTTTAAGTTTGAGGTTGAAATCGACATATGAAAATAAAATAATTTAAAAATCGAAACATAAGAGATTTAAAAGTATAATAATAAATTTAAAATGAGAAATAATAATTCAGAGGAGATTTAATTAATAACGTGGTGGAAACGGCTTGTTGGCAAAGAGTAAAAGGCGTTTTTGTTGCGCCTATATAAATGCAAAAAGCCTCACCTTTTTGCATCATCATTCCCTTCTCACTTTCAACGCATCGTCGGTTTCTTTTGGTCCCTCGGGAGATTTTCGCCATGGACGCCGACGCTTCCAACCGCCGCGTAGGCCTTCTTCTGTGGGTCATTATTGCGTTCAGCGGCGTCGTTTTCACTGCTGCTGAGCTTCAGCGATTTTCCCATCCGCCCAAAGACGACGGCTCTCTCAGCCTTCTGGTCGTCGGAGACTGGGGACGAAAGGGCGAATACAACCAATCTCAAGTTGCAGCTCAGGTCCCCTCTCTCTTTCCTACACAGTTTTTTTTTTTTTTTTTTTTTTTTTC